CGGCATTTATTGTGAGGAATTATTTTTGGACGTTGCCAAAAGAGATAAGGAAAAGATTAAAAAAAAGGCAAGTGCCAATCGGTTTGGTTGGTGGCCGTTTTTGGGGCAATTTTCTTCAAAAAAAAAAGAAGTTGCACGTGAGGGAGAAAGACATTGAGGCAGAAACAAAAGAAAAGAGAGATTAGCCACATACCAAATATTTGCAGATATCATACATACTTGTAGTATTGCTCGTTTGGCTTGTTGCTACGTTGCTTATATTTTTTTATGTTGCAACTTGAGTACTTGGTTGCCAGGGCACGTGAATTTCATTTGTGTTTTAGGCTCGCGTCTCTAGCACGATCTAGCCTAGGATCAGCACTCGACCACTTTGAACGAATTTTCAGCTTGCACTAATTAACGTGGTTGTAGCATTTTTTTTCCACATATATAAAACCAACCCAGCTCCATATATTTCTACACCGTCTATCCATACGTTCACCTGGCAATCGCTTTACCCAACTTTTGGAATTACTTGACACCGCTGGTTGCCGATCACCGCCTGCTGCATGGTAAGACATTGTAAGACATTGATATTTGCTTTACTGTGAGCGTTTTACTACCACATCCTAGTAGTTATAGAAACATTATTTTTGGATTTTGTTTCTTGTTTCTACTAATCATGACAGGATCTAGAGTCAATCCATGGGCTTTGTCGATCGCGGGAGACGTGTCACCACCTATGCAAATTCCACAACGATCACGAGAGGTGCATAAACATCCAAATGCACATGATCAGATTAATGTTTCTATACCATCATTTAATGGCCGTTTTAGAACTGCTTTATATATTGAATGGGAGTTCGACATAAATATTATATTTGCTTCCCATAATTTTGATGAACATAAAAAAGTTAAGATTGCGGTTGGTTCTTTCACTGGTTATGCTTTAGTTTGGTGGAGTGAATATTGTCGGTTACACCCTGATTATATACCTACTACTTGGGATGATTTGAAACTTGCCTTGCGACATGCATTCGTCCCCGCTTATTATACTCGTGACATGATTAAAAAGTTGCAACATTTAAAACAAGGTAGTGACACTGTAATGAAATATTATGATGATTTACAAACTACCTTGTTGCATTTCTCTTTAGAAGAAAGTGAAGAAGAATTTATGGATAGATTTCGGGGAGGATTAAACCGTGACATTCAGGAGATACTAATTCATGAAACATGTTATCCTATGGACCGTTTGTTTCGTCTTGCTTGCAAAGCTGAACAGGAGATAACAAGACGTGTTGCCCACAAGATAAACAAGCGGAAGGTGCAAATCCCACGAGTTGCGACAGTTGTTCCTTCCACCACTACGTCTCCTATGGCAACAACATCCATTGTTGAGAGCACTACATCACCTCCACCATGTGACATGTCGCCACCTAGAGTGCCTACATCATCTTTGTTGATCATAAGAGGTAATGACAAAGGTACCGATCTTCCACCTCCACATGAGTATGATGAATGCCTTGTCAATTTAAATGAACCATGCGATGAGCTACCCACTACTTTGATCACACCAGCTATTTTAGAGGACTATGTTCATGATTTGACTTTGCCATGTGATCAAACAATTTTGAGTGAACCCATTGAATTAACAATTGATGCAAAAGAACCATGTGAATCAGTGAAAAGATCAGATTTGGATCAAATACGTTTGAAAATAGTTGTGCCAATGTTTAATCATTTTGATATGACCTCTAATCTTGGTGATGGTTCATCAAGGTTGGGATGGTTTAATGATGAGCATTGCCAATCTTTTATTATGAATAAGAGCTTCACTTATATGTGCAAACTGAGTTGCAATATTTTCATGCCTTTGACTTCTTGTGATAATATATTGGCTTTATTTTTCACGACTTTTGAAGGGTGCTCTTGTATAACTGTGTCACATGTGCCACAACTGAGATCAGTTAAAATGGATGACATATACAAATACAACGTGTACACCTTGTCTCTATTGTTAGCCATATTTCAGATTAAGCAACGCCGAGGACGACTTTGTTTTCAAGAAGGGGAGGATGATGAGGACATGGCTACCACAGTTACACCCATATCCCCTGTTGTTTTACCTCTTGGAACAGTTACTAGAGCTTAGATACGCCAATTAAATTATCAGGTACTTTCGTTTCTTGGTAATGTTTCTAGTGTTCATGAGAATATGATGCTGCCTAACTTAGATACATTTGTGTTGCTTGCAATTGAAGGGCCTAGCACGGACAAGAAGGATGAACATTGGAGCATGGTCAAGCACGGAGATGAAGGTGCGTGCAAAGAGAACAAGAACGGAGGTTCAAGTGGAGATTTCCGGACTTTGAAGCCACCATGATGACATACAAGAAGATGGACGAAATATACAAGATGGCCTTTCATAAATTTCCTCCATAGCTTATTATTGGTGTCACGCCACCTTATTTTGGGCCAGGCCCATGTAATCTATTTTTAGAGTCCATATTATAGGGGAAACGACTTAGGAGGTGTTTTAGTCCCACCTTGCCAAGGGTGGACAAAATCCCCTCTCTTTTCCCTATATATATAGCCCTTAAGGCTTCGTTTAGACTGGGATTTTATTTAGTTAAAAGTTAGCCGCTGCAACTTCGTGTACTTCGTTTGTGTCCAACGACCAGACCAAGACCGCTTATGAAACCCCACTTTTATCAATACTTCATCCATACTCGCAATATTCAGATTGCTTAATCATATTCTTGCTTGTTCTTCGATTGCTTGCAGGAATAGACCTTCGTGGTCAGGTTGATCGTGCTCCAACGTGGTCAATAACCTCCCGGAGTTGGTTTAGCGATTGCTATGGCGCAACGTCGTGCACGTTTGTAGTCGGATCGTCAAAGTCGTCTCCACCAAATCGATAGTTATCATCTCATCGAAGGATCGGAACCCTCGCCTCTATCACGTAGCGGGAAGGAGCCGAGGAGGAGGCGCACCCGCCGCCCTCGTTGATGATGACGCCGGTGTTGCGGGTGCGCCGGCCGAGCGGCGTCTCCGCTTCGGGCTCGGCCTTGACGCCGAACACCGCCAGTGAGCCGGAGGAGTGGGAATAGGAGCGGGAGGAGGAAGACGAGGAGGAGCCGAACCTCCTAGGGATCCATTGCCCGATGCTCCGGCGGGGGACCGGGGCGGCGGCCGTGGCTGGGTATGTCAGTGGCGGGTCGTTGCCGCCCTCGAGGTGCTGGAGAACCTCATGAAGCGTGCGGCCGGGGGCGCCCCACCACAGGCGACGCCCATCGCTGTTCTTGACGGCCCCCACTATCAGCGCCCCGTTGGTGGAGGCCAGTCGCTACGCCTACCGGTGCTAGAAGTACGCCGTCCACGCCTTGTAGTTGTCGGCGGCATACTGCGGGAGGACGCGCTGCTCCTCTGTCAGCGACGCCCGCACGCGCTCGACCTCGTCGGCGAAGTAGTCGGCGAGCGCGTTGACGTCGGGCATCGGGGGAATGGGGACGCCCCCGGCGCTGAGCCTCCACCCGCCCGGCCCTGCGCGCATGTCGAGCGCCGTCGGGATGTTGGCCTCGAAGAGGAGGTACGCCTCCCACCCATGCAGGGAGCGGCGGCCGAAGTCGTTGGTCGCCGCCGTGTCACCGGGGAATCGCTAGCCCATCGTCGCGGCTTGGCTTGGGGAGAGAGGGGAGGATCGGCGGCGGCGGCTGCGCACGGGGAGAGAGAGGCAGAACACGGCGGGTGTGGCCAGAGGTGAAGGTGAGGCGTTGCTTTTATAGCCGCCCGGTGTCGTGTGTATGCGTGGCGGGAGGGAGGGCGTCGTCGCGCCGCCCATGAGGAATCAATGGAAGGCTGACCGGCGGCAGTCTTGGCATTGATTCCCCACGGGAAACCGAGGCGCAGTTAGTTCGCGCCAAAAAACGCGCGCGCCGGCGCTCCCAGGCGTCCCAGCGCGCCGTGTTCGGCATGGGTCCGCCGACCCCAATTTCGGTCCAACCCGGCGAAAAATGGGCTCCTGGGGGCGCGACTGGGCCGATTTTCGCCCGCCGACGCTAAAAAATCGCCAGGAGGGGGGGCATGTTGAGGACGCGGCCGGAGATGCTCTTACAACGCAACTTGATTTCAACAAGCATGTAAGTATCTGATTCTTAATACCATCGTCTTTGTAATAAACACCTGCAGGTATCCATCAATTTATCTAGTTTGCTTCTTCTTTTTAGAGAATTTTTGCTTCTTGGTAATAAACGCCTAACTGAACTGCTTGTCGTTGCTCCAATGGCGGGGGGAGCGGCCACAAGGGTCACCAGACGCTTCCACCCGCCCACCTCCATTTGGGTCGTCGCGGGTGAAGGAGCGGCGCATGCGTAGGGAGCGCAAGGAGGAGGAGGAGCGCACCTGCCTCGCCATAATGGCATCGCCGTAGCAGACGTCGGAGGAGGCAGCCCTAACAGCCTATAAAGCCAAGTTTAGCTGGGCTGGGCCGGGCCGCCTCCCGTCTTCATCCTCACAGGCAGCGACGACAACGGCAAGGTGGACGACTAGGGCAACGTGCAGACAGGTTCATTTTTATGTTTAACTATTGTTTAAGAGGACTTTGGCCGGCATTCACCAGCCACTTATGTTAATTATATTTTTCTAATTTTATTTCGGCCATCCGAGTCAAAAATGGGTATGCCTCACGTTGAGCCAACCCACGCCCGCCTGGCCAAGCCAAAGGACGAAAAATGAACAAAGCACTCGGCCGTTTGGGTCAGCACGTTAGAGTTACTCTAAGGCCTTGTTCGGTTGCACGGGGTTTGAGGGGGGTTAAAGGGGATTGTGAGGGATTACACCCCCTGTAAGTCAAATTCCTTTCCAATTCCCTTCAAACCTCTCCAGTCCCCTTGGGAAGGGATTAAACGAACGGGCCCTAAGGCCTCATTTGGTACAAGGGGATTTGAGAGGTTTTGGGAGGCGGGGATTTAGGAGGTTTTGGTGAATCCCTTCCTTCCACCCAATCCCCTCAATTCCCCTCACATCCCCAAGTTTCCAATCCCCTTCCATAAAAACATGTTTGGTAGGCGGGGTTTGATATAATAGACTGATGGCAACAATGCAATTAAAAATCTCATCTTTGCTAGTTTAACAACTCTAACCATGTCGGTCCTCACAATATTCTGTTACAAGAACAGGTTACTCCCAGATTATTTTGTTACAAGAACAACATGTCCTCATAATATTCTATTACAACCAAAGTTTAACATAGGTGGTAGCCATGTTTGTATTTCGGTGGCTGCATTTTATGTTGCCATTGGCAATTGAGCTCTTTCCTTTGTTACCATCTAACTCCAGCCTGGAAGCAACAAATACTCGTAATAACTCTGCATGAAAACATCGATCTTGAGTCCACATAAAAGAAGGCCAAAAGCAAACTCGTAATAACTCTGCATGAAAACATCGATCTCTGTCAAAATAAGAACAAGTTAGCAAGGTCCATTACATAATTCAGTTCAACAGAAATGGACCAAGTTCTTATAAATAGCATTCGTGCTATAAAGGACAAGTTAGCAAGGTCTGAGATCATTGTTTCTAAAATTCATCAATTGTTTCTAAAATGATCCATAGATATCTTGCCGCCAAGACTAATTTGGTACACAGATTCAGTTTGCTACTGCAAGTAATCACAATAAAACTTATTCTCAAATGATTTATGATGGCAAGAACATGAAAAGAAAAAGTTACATCTTACCGGGGAAAATACCAGCTCTTCGGTAGGTGTGAAGGAGGCTGATGGCCGCGAGGCATGGAGAAGGTTGATGCTGGCGGAGCGCGAAAGAGGCTGCAAGGTCCATGGAGGGAGATCAAGTTAGCAAAGGTTAGTACATAGATTCAGTTCAACGGAAATGGACCAAGTTAGCTAGCTAGCTAGACGAATAGATAGTAATAAACTACAAGTACTAGTATGCATGGTGCTCCTAAGATAACAAGCATACTAGTAAGCGAATGCAACGCAGAACAGGATTCACAAACAAACAAACAAACAAACAAACAAACAAACAAACAGGTGATCGGTGCTCCCAGATAACCAGCATGAGGTGTACAGTGTACTAGTTCATCCGTCCTACAGCCTATATCAGCACAACTAGATAAGAATATTGGTAAGCAATGCAGAGTACGATTTACAAAAAATAACAGGGGATGGGTGCAAACATCATCATCATAAAGTTATTCTAGACTGCTATCATATTTCTAGAAACGGAGCAAATGGCATTACACAAGACAGTTAAGTATTAAAAGCATAGCATTGCCCAGAAATAGTATGTTGCAATTCCAGGAGCAAATGGATAATATGCAGAGCAACATTACTAGTCCCACCTCATTGACTAGTAATGAAACTGCATGATACATACTTCTGGATGAGTCGTTGTAGTTTACAGATCCTGTGATTAAGCTTTTTTTTAACCCTCACACCGTAGAACAACCATTCTGCAGTAAATTTTATAAAATAACAAGTGTGATTAAGCTTATTCAATAAACATATATTAAATTTTCGAGATCAGCGTGCAATCAAATGATGGAATTCAATCGTCAATTGCAGCATGAAACAAAATTGTAATTGTACTTAAATTTCTCTATGTTTCCTTTTACGATGCGATTCAGTTTGGTTCAAAAGCTAAAAAAATACACCAGGCGTTATGCTAGTACTTAACTCAGTCTCACACCCATGCATGACGCCATTCGGTTCGGTTGTCCCACAAATTAGATACCCAGATTATATATAGCAACAGATTAGTCTAATCGGACTGAACTGAAATCAAAAGTCCACATAATCGACTAGCTAGAGATTAAGATCATCATAGATGAAGTCAATTGACCTATAAAGAGAGCCCCGGCTTGGATCAACAATGCAAGGGATTCAAGATATAGTCGAAAATACAGGGGAATTAAGCAGCACACGTACATCCATAGGAAATAAAATACAACTCTTACCTAGGGGACAAGCAAGCTTGGGCTCCGTGGCGAAGGGCTAGGGCGGCAATGCATATCGACGAACAGGAGGGCCTCGGAGGTGGCTGGGGTCGCCAGAGAGGAAGAGCGGAGAAGCGGAGGTGGTGGTGGCGCAGCGGTGTAAACCCTAGTCCCCGCCTTTGCTCGGGGAGTAGAGAAGGGGAGGGAGCGGCGGTGCGGTGGCATAAACCCTAGTTCCCGTCGGCAAGGCGCCTCCTCTTGGTGGCGGCGGGGCGGCATCGTCGCTTTGACCACGTGAAACAAATGGACCGTCGGGGTTTTAGAGGTTTTTGAGCCCCACGGGGTTGATCCTCTAGAAACCCTCTCAATCCCCTTGTACCAAATGAGGCCTGACGGACGGAGCTGTGTCTGACATGTGGGCCCAACATGGGGACCAGGTGCCTTTACAGCCCGCGCTGCGTCCAGTGTGAGCGACACAAGCATTTTCTAATTAATTGGCAAGTACAGATTATTCGGTGCATGTGCGTCGCCGTTTATTTAAGGGTTTCTTATACAAGATTGGTCAAGGACCAAATTTGGGAGCTGTACATGTGCGTCGCTGTTTAAAAGCCAACCTAACAACTTGGATTTACGCCAGGCTAGTCTTGCAAAATAAAACTTGCAATTCGTCTTACTTGCATATTTGGATGTACCACACATGCTAGAAAACGATGATCCAGCTACGTGATTCAAAGACATGCAAAATAAAACTTTAACTGTCCCATAACCACTTTTTTGTTAGACCATCGGACAGTAATTCCAAACTGATAGACAGTCAGGTCCATCTTCTCAAACCTTCAGACGCATCGGCGGTATAACGTACGTGCCCCAATTTCCCTCCAAACCAGCAGCAGGCCTTCCAGCATCCGATTTTGCCACATCACGGTCCTAAACAAATAAACCACTTGAGTGACGTTATACTAACACAGTACCAAGTGCACGAGATAAAAACATACCCCGTATACATATCCAATCCTTTCCTTGTTAATCCTAGCATCAGCAGCTGGGAAGCCCCTTCTTCCCAGCTGGCTCTTGTCCAAACCATCAGCAGCAACAGTTCTTCCAGCATCCGATATCAACACATCAGTCCTAAACAAATAGACCACTTAAGTAGTGACATAACTAACAAACAACGCACGAGATAAAATACATACCTGGAATTGATATCTAATCCTTTCCTCCATAGCTTTCATCTTAGCATCAAAACCCTCAGGCAAATCCGGTGGAAGAACCACGCAAAGCCGTGGTGGCCACAAGGGATCGTGGCCACCTTTGTATTTACCAGCGTCAATGGGGTGCTTCATACTAACATTGGTTTTTTTACAACCATAGCATGTACCTTCATATTTCATTTAACTAGCTCTTAGAGATATTAAAATGTATGCTCAAAAAAAAGATATTAAAATGTACTCCCTCTGTAAAGAAACACTTTACAGAAGGAGTATATGTGGTGAGCCTCAAGCAAGGGAACAAGCCAAACAGCTATATGGACAAAACTTGCCAAAATCTAAAGTCAAGACTAGTACCGTTATCAACAGCAGGTTTAACCATATGGAGACAGGTGAGCTTGAATTGTAGTCCTCTATTCATTCTCAAGACTTCGGCAAAGAAGAGATTGTCGACGCCACCTTTAGTCTTTCTAGTACAATTCAGATGATAGTACCAGCCACCTTTGCCCTCATAAACTTCTTGGAAGCTCACGACATTTTCAACATTATATGCATCATCCTGAAATCAGATTGCATCAACAATTAATTGGTACAGTACAAGACAATCAAGGCGGCATGAGCGCATTCGACAGAGTAGCTACAAAGGTAAATTAGCAACTGATGCAAGTGAGTCCCAGGAGTGAGGGAGAGTGAGCAAACCCCCAAAAGATTATTCTCCTCATTGTACTTGTCCAACAAAGCTTGAATCAATAGCCCCATATGATCTTCATCCGGATTGGATCTCGAAGAATACTTCCTCGTGCCATCTGGCCAGTGAAGAGCATCTCATATAGCAATCTCCGAACTGGAAAGCCCATCGTTTGTGCACCTGAGAAACAATGAATGGAAGCTAATTAATGAAACTTTAACCCTGCAAGAGAGCAAGAGTGAGAAACCTTGGACAAGTGAGAGGAGGAATAAACCTGCTGCTGGCTTCTGTTTTGATTAATTAGAGAGCTGTCTATTAGTAATTGCTTCTTATTTTCGAAAAGACTAGGGGGAGCTAAGAAGAAGCTTTACATTTTCCGATCACGTAGTTTTTCAAGGTGGCAGAGTATAGCCTTGTTAGCTTCCTCCAAGCTCCGGAACGGCCCACCCAGCTCAGGATATGTGTGGAAAAATCCCCCAAGATCTACTCTGATGAAAAATTGATGATTCCAACCGGCAGGTTTCCGGGCCAAAATGGGCGGCGTCAGCGAGTGAGTCACCTCCTCTGCCCATGTGGAGGAAGCGTCCTTGGATGACAACATATCTGGCTGCAATCTGGTTTCACAAGAGTAAAGAAAGAAGAAACAACAATCAACTTAGATCTCTTCATCTACATACCACTGTTGATCAGTGTGTTTCAAAACTGGCAAGGGCAAGAGAGTACTGAAAGTTGGGCTAACTGGTTCAAATTGGGCATTGAAATTCATTTAAGAAATTTGATTTCGACTAGAACATAAGCATAAAGGAAATATACAGATAAGAACAAATGGATAATACATACTACCAACCATCTCTCCCCGGAGAGAGAGAGAGAGAGAGAGAGAGAGATTAATACGGTGTAGGCTGCAGCGGAGAGGAAGCGTTAGTGATTGACTCCAGTGTTGTAGTGTCAAGCAGCTCCTTCGAGGCCAGGACATTTGGTTCTCTGTCCTCATGCCTTAAATGAAAAAGAAAGAGGGAGATTGTAATGCAGAAAAAACAATCTGGTTTCAAGAGTAAAGAAATAAGGAAACGACAAGCAACTTAGCTATCTTCATCTAAATACCGCTCTGTTGACCAGTGTGTTTCCAAACTGGCACTGGCAAGAGTGATGAAAGTTGGGATAGCTAGTTCAAATTGGGCATTGAATTCATTTAAGAAATTTGATTTCAACTACAACATACGCATGAAGGAAATATACCATTAAGATCAAATAGACAATACATAATACCAACCACCTCTCCCCAAGGAGAAACGACGACACGCAACTTAGATATCTTCATCTAAATACCGCTCTGCTGACCAGTGTGTTTCGAAACTGGCACTGGCAAGAGAGTGATGAAAGTTGGGCTAACTGGTTCAAATTGGACATTCAATACATTTAAGAAATTTGATTTCGCTAAAACATAAACATGAGGGAAATAATACCATTAAGATCAAATGGACAATACATACTAGATACTACCAACCATCTCTCCCCAAGGACGAGAGATACATACAGTGTAGGCTGCAGCAGAGAGGAGGCGTTAGTGATTGACTCCTCCAGTGTTGTAGTGCCAAGCAGCCCCTTCGAGGTCAAGACATTTGGTTCTTTGTCCTCACGCCTGAATAAAAAAAAGAGGGAGATTGTAATGCAGAAAATCAATCTGGTTTCAAGAGAGTAAGGGCCCGTTCGGATCCTCTCCAGCTTCTGGAAATAGCCTGCTTCTCGCGAAGCCAGCCGCAGACAGCTTCTGACGGGAGCAGAGATTCGTTCGGCAGCAGGGAGCAGCTCCAGACACTGTACAAACTCGAAATAGCCCAGGAACAGGAAGCCGGCATGGGAAGGGAGCTAGGAGAAGTGAGCTCTCTGGTGTGGATCCGGCGGCAAGCTCGACGGAGCAGGTCAACCGGGTGCCGGCGACGAGCGACGGAGGGAGCTGAGGTAGGATCGGGCGTCCGGGTGCGCTGAGGATGGGCGGGGGAAGGAGGAGATGGGGTGGCGAATGCAGTGAGTATGGGACGGGGAACCTGCGGGGGCGCGGCGGAGCACCGGCGCCGCGTTGGATGGGTGGCAGCGGCCGGCGGCGCCCTCCTAGGGTTACAGATGGGGGAGAAAGGGGACGAGGGGAGAAGAGAAGCTGGGCGACGGGAAAGCGCGTCGGGCGAATCAGTACGCAAGGATTGACTTGGTGGTGGCATTCTCATGTAAATTGCAGCAACTCCACCTTCCGCTTTTTTAGAAGCTACGCTTTGGCTGCTCCAGGAAATTACACTGCGAGAGGACGGGCTCCGCGAAGCAGGCTTCCAGAAGCTAGCGCGTTTGGGCTGGCTTCACGCCGGAGACGGTGAAGCTGGATCATGGAGAGCCTCCGAACGGGCCCTAAAGAAAGAAGAAACAACAACAAACTTGGATCTCTTCATAAAACAATGGGCTGCTGTTTTGAACAAGCAATTCAAGCTAGTTGTCACCGGAGATCAAGTCAGAAACCATCTCAAGAAGTGGAGGAAGATTTGGGGGAGGGTAGTCAATTTGAAGAATCTAAAGTAGAGCTCTATGGGATGAAGATACTTGCACAGCTAGGCTCAGCGATGAACACTATGCAAGGCATTGTATGGTATGCTTCTAATGCTATGAGCAATATCATGCCATTTCATGTCTAAATTATGCTAATCACTTGCACTTTTTTGTAGAACCACAAATCTGATGGCCCCTTCTTGAATGCCATGGCAACCATTTTTGGAACAACCACGACTACGGGGATGAATGCTTAGGTCCAGGAATGATCTCCTTTCTATTGATGTCGACGATGAGGAAAATGGTGAGGTGAATACGTCACCATATGTTGGTGAGAATTCTAACCCCAAAGGACCATCAAAAAAGAAGGCTAAGGTAAAGGAAGTTGATGATGATGACCTAGTTATCACTCTGAAAGATGGGTTCAAACTTGTGGCTGAAGATCTTGTAAGTCTAATGGAGATGATGAAGCTATAGCCGATGACCTTTGGGATGTAGTCTCCCAATTGCCAGATTTTGATGAAGAGCACCTTGCCCACTACTATGCTCATCCCGTTGACAATCCCAAGACAACAAGAGCCTTCATGAAACTTTCCCAAACCAACAAGTCGGCCGCGGTGGGCATCTCGGCCGCGGTGGCGGCGTGGGACGGGCTCCGCGATGGGGGGTGGAAGATCGCGCGGACTCGTCTGGAGATCGTAGAGGACTTCCATGTAGACATCTTCGACGGGTCGTGTCGACCAGCGGAGGGCATCGGTGACGAGAACTCCATGCCTATCTTCGTAGATAGAGATTCGTCGACCGTCGGGAAGAAGAATTAGGTCGGGACGACGAAATAGGGACGTGGGTTGCTGGTCGCCTCCGAGCGTCGGAGGAGGGGAGGAGAGGGGAGAGGGGTGCTTTGGTTGGTTGTAGCGGTCGCGGTCGCGAGGTCGGACAAGCTGCGCCATGGGGTGCGGGGGGGCCGGCGGAGGACGTGCTAGGGTTTGGAGATTTCCTTTGGATCGAAGGAAAGTTTTTTTTTTCTTTTTTAGGGTTTGGGCGAGGGGAAAGGTGCGCTGTGGTTGTTGTCGTTGGGGCCTCTGGGACTGGACTAATATAAGTGTTTTCTTTTTAGTTTATTTATTATTCGAAATCACTAGTTGAGGAATACTTGTTACAAAGATCATTCCAACTCCTCCGTATGTGTCACTTGTCGTAATTTGGGAGTTTTTTTAGATTCGTTTATTCAAAACATTTTATCTTTCAAACCGTGTGTCCAAATCTCGAACCGCTTTCATCGTTGGATTCCTCACGTCGAGATCTTTAAAACTAGATCCCATGTTGATTTGACGAACTTTTTTGTCACGAAAAAAACCGGACGAAAAAACGAACCGGAAACACGGGTTTTTTCCCTTTCCGGAAAAGGCATGTGTGTGCCTCTCACGAAATTACAACCGAGTCTCTCACATAAGCAAAATCGTGACTCTCACGAAAGAAAAAAAAAGAGAAAACATGTTTTCTTTCAAGGAGGCACGGCCGTTACTCTCGCGAAAGAAAAAAAAGAAAAAACGCGTTTTTTTCGTTTTCGAGGAGGCACGGCCGTGACTCTCGCGAAAGGAAAAAACCAGAAAACGCGTTTTTTCATTTCCGAGAGGCACAGCCGTGACTCTCGCGAAAGCACAACCGTGCCTCTCTCGGAAGCAAAACCGTTACCCTCATAAAAGAAAAAAAACAAACAAAAAAGTGTTTTTTTCGTTTCCGAGAGGCACGGCCGTGACCCTCGCTAAAGCACAATCGTGCCTCTCGCCAAAGCAAAACCATGATTCTAGCGAAAGGAAAAAAAAACAAAAAACACGTTTTTTTTCGTTTCCGAGAGGCACGGCCGTGACTCTCGCGGAAGCAAAATCATGACTCTCGTGAAAGAAAAAAACAAAAACGCATTTTTTTCGTTTTCGAGAGGCACGGCCGTGACTCTCGCGAAAGAAAAACCGTGCCTCTCGCGGAAGTAAAACCGTGACTCCCGCGAAAGGAAAAAAACGCATTTTTTCGTGTAATTTTTTTCCTGATCGAAAAGCTAAGGAAGACCGGTGAGAAACCAAAACGTCGAAAAAACTCGAAAAAAAAACGTTTAAAAAGCTGAAAACGCGTGCGAAAAAATAAAAAACAAAATCCGGAGGGAGCGCCCAGAGCGCGGCACGTGACGAATGGCTGAGAGCGCGTCAAGTGACGCTGATCGTTGCAAGGCTCCCAAAGAAGCGCTCGTTAATAGTTGCTCTGTTATGTATTACTATTTTCTTTGACTTGCATAGTCGGGGCCTTTGGGCCGCTTGGCAGCCCATCAACATCGATAGCGGGCCCAAAAAAAGGAACGCCACTCCTGCCGTGGGTTCCTATATGGCGCATAGGCGCCGCTGAGCGACCAGGCATATCCTATTTGACGCCCGCAGCGTCAAAAGGATGACCCATCGCTGAAGGGAGTCACCACATGGGCCGGCCCACGTACAGATTTGGTTTGCTGCTCTTTCCTTGTTTTTTGCGGGTTTTTTATTTCTTT